TGCTGGAATAATCCGCCTGAAACTGTAACCCGCAGACCTTGCAGCTGAGGGCGCCCTCCTTGGCCTCAGCGGAGGACCCTCGCTCCAACGCCTCCCTCCGCCGACACCTCTTCAGGGCAGCCAGCCTCTGCCTGTGAACCACCACGTGTTTCACCAAGTGAGCCTTTTGCACGAAGAACTTCCTGCAGACGCCGCATCCGAAGGGCTTCTCGTTGGTGTGCAAGAGCGAGTGGCGAAGGAGGTTTCCCTTCTGACTGAAGCGCCTGCCGCAGGGTCGCATCCGAAGGGCCTCACCCCGCGTGGACATTCTTGTGAATGAACAGATGACCCTGTTGGCCGAACACTTTGCCGCACACTTGGCACTTGAAGGAGCTTTGGGCGTGGCTTGGGACTTGCGACTCATCCTGGAATCTGGGAAACAACTGAAGGCTTTCTGTCTGATCTGAAGGTTATATTGGGAGCCTTCACGTGACCTTGAAGAGTGGGAACGCGGCCTGGAAAAGGCACTGTGAAGGGGACGCGGTCTGGTTAGAAAGAAGTAATCAACCATAACAGATATACCTTTCCTTCTAAAGAATGAGAATGTTTAAAATAGCGAAGCAAACCAAATTCTTTTCGTGAAAATCTTAGAATGCCGACTATAAACGCTTTTTCTTCCTCTTTGTTATTCAATTGTGGTTTCCACCTTGCCTCATGTAGGATGTTCTCTTGTAGTAAAATTGCCAAGAAAAGAAAAAATATTTCGATGGTTCATCATATCCCCCCGACAGAATCGATATATATATATATATATTATATATATATATATATATATATATATATATATATATATATATATAATGGGAAAATATTCGTTGCGCCATAACTAATAAAACTCATGCGGCACAAAATTGAGTTTTTGGAAGTTAATGGTCGACTTCACACTTTCTAACAAAAATTGCAAATTTTCTTTTACAGCTTTTAGACCTTTATTTCTGCTATACCCATGTGTTCAGGCATACGCAACAGACTCAAAATGTCAGTTTCGTGTGTTCTTACTAAGATATAATGCTATAATTGTTTTAATGAGAACTGCAGAAAAACACTATTGAGCAATTTTCAGTAAAGTGTCCACTACATAATGTGCTTATACATGCACTATCCATACCGTATACAGTTAAAAGTGGTGATTTAGTTCTTATCATAATAAGATTACAGAGGATTAGGGACACAATAGCAATGCTAATTATCATAGAGGCTTGCGACTGACACCGTGTAATTCAATTTTAATTTATTTTTGTTTCCATGAAGCTGATTATGAAGGACTCGGTACATACGCTATATTTCTTATAAATTGTTTGCTTCTGTGATTTTCAACTTTATAAATAGATTTACGATTTGATGCTTCGATTTCACGGGTAAACTACGATTTGCTTGAAAAGAATGACACTTGAGAGTAGATATAAAATGATTGAAACGCTGGATTATCACCTTTACCTGTCAGTACTGATAAGAAAAATATATGAATGTCTCACATGTCGTTTGTCCGAAGTTATTCATACCTTCTCATGTTTAACAATTGGTTGCGTTTAAACGACTAAAAGAGTACTTAATTTTATCGAGGTTCTTATTCAAACTGACCTACATTGTTGATATCGACCAAAATCCGTGATATTTATCTTTTATGGAGAGAAAAAAGAAGGGAGGGAGAGAGGGAAGGAGGGAGTAGATCCCAACGCCATGAGCAGTGTCCATGGGTTAACTGCCTTCCAGCTCAATTTTTTTCTCAGAAGGAACTCCCTTCACTTCATAAGCTCGTCTGTAGATTAGCTATGCATTATACCAGTCTGGAATATATGTGATCTAAGAAATCGCCCAGAATTATTACACTGTAGCAGTGCATCTTGCTATAACATATCAATATATCATATACGTTAGTTTGCAAGATCAGGCATCGGCAATGTACATTACTTGCGATATTGTCCGTCATTCTTATGCAAAACTGAGCAAATAAGTTTAAAAATGAAATGTGTAATTGATAATAGTTAATATGAAATTCATTTTATTTAATACTTTTCCACTGGCATATCAACTAGGTCTTGTCCAACGCATTTATCACAAAGGAGAGATAGGGTACTCCGCGTCCTATTTGTCGACCCTTCCGAGGATATGCTGGGCCTTCAGGTGTTCCATCAGCTGGAAAATCCGCCTGAACTGTAATCCGCAGACCTTGCACCTGAGGGCGCCCTCCTTGGCCTCAGCGGAGGACCCTCGCTCCAACGCCTCCCTCCGCCGACACCTCTTCAGGGCAGCCAGCCTCTGCCTGTGAACCACCACGTGTTTCACCAAGTGAGCCTTTTGCACGAAGAACTTCCTGCAGACGCCGCATCCGAAGGGCTTCTCGTTGGTGTGCAAGAGCGAGTGGCGAAGGAGGTTTCCCTTCTGACTGAAGCGCCTGCCGCAGGTGTCGCATCCGAAGGGCCTCACCTCCGCGTGGACATTCTTGTGAATGAACAGATGACCCTGTTGGCCGAACACTTTGCCGCACACTTGGCACTTGAAGGACCTTTGGGCGGTGGCTTGGGACTTGCGACTCATCCTGGAATCTGGGAAACAACTGATGGCTTTCTGTCTGATCTGAAAGTTATATAGGGAGCCTTCACGTGACCTTGAAGAGTGGGAACGCGGCCTAGAATAAGGCACTGTTAGAAAAAACGGGAACGCGGTCTGGAATTCGGTCTAATTCTTTAAAAAAAAAATATTCATCAGTTACATCCGTAAGAAATAATAGTTTAAAATGCGAAAATAGGGTTTTCATTTCGTTCTTAGCTTTGCAATCTCATCACACCTGTTCCTTATCATGATTCATATGTTATCGAGGCAAGAGTGAAAATCACTTTTCCTCAGCAGCACAAAAATAATAGATTTCCATGAGCAATAAATAACTGAAGCTTTTAAAGAGAGATCGGGGGTGAATAATCGTCGTTGAGAGGAGAAAATATAGCAGAGTTTAAAAAGCAAAAAAAAACTGTTTTCTTTCGTTCTTAACACGTTAGAATCTTGCAACGTGCCGGGCGTAAACATACTCTTGCTTAAAAAGAAACACCCAGTTTCTCTTACCTTTCTGTACACACTGCGGTGTTTGTGTTCACTTTTACTCTTCACATTTTCTACTTCTGTTTCCGGTTTTTCAATGTTTCATGTTCTTCTGTGGCAAACGTGACAACGCAGAGTATGTTACCATTATATAGCGTATCATGCTTCCCCGACAGCGCAAAAATAACAATGGATTTCCAAGAACAATAAGTAAATGGAACAGTGGCAGTCAGGAGTGGATCAAATTCAATTGCATTTGTATCTGAATTGCATTAAATACAATTTAAAGCGTTTGTATTTTGGGATCGAGAGGAAAGATACTTTGTATTTTGTATTTCGAGTCCATACTAGTCGAGCAGGACAAGCATTAAGGAGAGAGAGAGACTGAGATAGATAGATAGAGAGAGAGATAAATATAGAGTTAAATAATTAAACCGATGGACGCGCTCTAACCCCTGTCATGTACAGTCGTCCGGATTTAAATCGCATATCACTCCCGTCTGATATATGTACTACATATATAATACATATAGCAAATGATATATGTACATATATCATATGATATAAGTACCATAATATATATCATATATTAAATGATTTGAGTATCATATATGATATAAGTATATATATCATAATTTATATGATTTGAGTATCATATATAGTATATATATCATATATTATATGATTATGTATCATATATATATCATATATTATACGATATGAGTATCATATATATATCATATGTTATATGATATATATATCTCTACCATATCAATATATCTCTATCATATATCATATATCTCTACATATATCATATATCTATAATATATCATATAAGTATCATATATATAGATGTATGATTTTTTTTCTTTTGACCATTTATTATCTCTTCTGCTGTCTTCCCTACTTATTTTCCTCCCCTTCCGAGAGCATGTTGGACCTTCAGGCGTTCCATCATCTTGCATTTGTACAAGATCTCTTATGCGAGAATTGCCTGTGACTATTTGTCGTAAATACTGATAGTTAATGTAAGATCATGAATTAGCTATACTGGTATAGTTAATCGAGAGCTAATAGTATTGCAGCATAGTTTCGTTTTTTCTTGCAAAAAAGAGCAAATGAAAATGAAAAGTGTAAGTGATAACGGTTAATTTGAAACTATTTTATTTAACTTTTTTTCCACTGGCATATCTTTTTAGCTCTTGTCCAACGCATGTCACAAAGGAGAGATGGCGCACTATTTCCCTTCCCTTCCGAGAATATGCGGCCTTCAGGTGTTCCATCAGCTGGAAAATCCGCCTGAACTGTAATCCGCAGACCTTGCACCTGAGGGCGCCCTCCTTGGCCTCAGCGGAGGACCCTCGCTCCAACGCCTCGCTCCGCCGACACCTCTTCAGGCCAGCCAGCCTCTGCCTGTGAACCACCACGTGTTTCACCAAGTGAGCCTTTTGCACGAAGAACTTCCTGCAGACGCCGCATCCGAAGGGCTTCTCGTTGGTGTGCAAGAGCGAGTGGCGAAGGAGGTTTCCCTTCTGACTGAAGCGCCTGCCGCAGGTGTCGCATCCGAAGGGCCTCACCTCCGCGTGGACATTCTTGTGAATGAACAGATGACCCTGTTGGCCGAACACTTTGCCGCACACTTGGCACTTGAAGGACCTTTGGGGCGTGGCTTGGGACTTGCGATCTCATCCTGGAATCTGGGAACAACTGATGGCTTTCTAAGGATAAGTCCGATATGCGAAGCTGGGCCTCGCCCGGGCTATGAGGGAGCCCGGCTGTGCCGACAGAAGTCGACTCGATCAACATGTGTCAGCGAGTGCTGACGCGACAGAGCTTAGTCCTTACCCACCGTGGTGCCCGGCCACAGCAGTAACCTCCGGGCGACAATTGCAACTTCTCGCGCCTGGGCGGGGCGCGAACCGCCGACCCCTCGGATGAGAGGCCGACGCGTTACCACTGTACTAGCCTGGAGGCAATGGCTTTTCTGTCTGATCTGAAGGTTATATAGGGAGCCTTCACGTGACCTTGAAGAGTGGGAACGCGGCCTGGAATAAGGCACTGTGAAAGGGACTCGCTCTTGCTAGGAAAAAAATATATCTCTCCCAGAAGTTATATATTTCCCAATGAGAGAGATAAAATAGAAAATACTTTAAAAAGCCAAAGCAAAGCTTTTATTTTGTTCTAAGCTTTGCGTGTGAATCTTGCAATTTCCTGGTTGTACACTTTCGCTTCTTAAAATGAAACATATTTTTCTGTTTCTTCATCACACCTGTTCCATCTCATGCTTCATATTTCATCGAGTGAAAATATCTTAATTTACAGGAAATCATTTTCTCAGCAGCACAAAAATAACAGATTTCCATGAGCAATAAATAACTGAAGCTTTTAAAACAGAAAAGGGGTGAATAATCGTCGTTGAGAGGAGAAAAAGCCAAAAAAACTAATGTTTTTATTTCGTTCTTAACGCGTTAGAGTCTTGCAACGTGCCGGGCGTAAACATACTCTTGCTTAAAAAGAAACACTGCCAGTTTCTTTTACCTTTCTGTACACATTGCGGTGTTTGTGTTCACTTTTACTCTTCATATTCCTACTTCTGTTTCCGGTTTTTCAATGTTTCATGTTCTTCTGTGGCAAACGTGACAAGCCGAAGAATATGTTACCATTATATAGTGCATCATGCTTCCCCGACAGCGCAAAAATAACAATGGATTTCCAAGAATAAGTAAGTGAAACAGTGGCAGTCAGGAGTGGATCAAATTCAATTGCATTTGTATCTGAATTGCATTAAATACAACTTTAAGCGTTTGTATTTTGGCATCGAGAGGAAAGATATTTTGTATTTTGTATTTCGAGTCCATACCAGTCGAGAGAAAGAGACAGACAGACAGAGAGAAAGAGAGAGAGAGAGAGAGAAAGAGAGACAGACAGACAGAGAGAAAAAGAGAGAGAAAGAGAGAAGAGAGAGAGAAAAAAAGAAAGAGTTAAATAATTAAACCGATGGATCGCGCTCTAAACCCTGATGATAATGGTAATAATAATAATACTATGATAAAATAAAAATGTTGATAACGACAATAAAGATAATAATAATGATAACGACAATAAAGATGATGATAATGACAAATCGCATATCACTCCCGTCTGGCTTTCCCGCTTCGGCCGGAGCTGACTAGTAAAGCCGGCAGTTTTTAACACCCGACAGAGCAAAAAAAAAAAAATAATAAAGGAATAAAAAATAAAAAATAAAAATAATAATAATATTGATGATGATGATGATGATGATGATGATGATGATGATGATGATGATGATGATGATGATGATGAGGTATTTTATTTGTGTTTTTTAATCAGAACGATGATAACTATAAGATATAATGATAACAGTAAATATGATAATAAAAAAACGGATAAATACAAGATGATGAGAGCGATAAATAATAATGGTATAATAATTATAGTGTTAATGACGCTGCCCGGACATCCTAATTATATAATAATTTAGAATAATGATGTCACGTTAATTGGTTAAAATGATTACCATTCAATCCCGTACTCTCCCAGTGGATGGTAACCTCGGCCATTCCTTGCACAAAAGGGAGATTTAGAAGCAAAATAAAACTGATAAATAAAGATTTAGAAGCAAAATAAAACTGATAAATAAAGATTTAGAAGCAAATAATAAATTAATAAAGATTTAGAAGCAAATAAAACGGATTATGTCACAGCAAAGAATATCCACCGTGACACATGGAATTTAAACTAAATTTTTAAATCTTTTAGACTCCTCTTTCCTCTGACAGATGAGTCCGTAAGAACACCGCGTGCGTTCTCCGTGGCAACAACGACGAAGAAAACACTCCAGGAGAGAACGCCTTCATGAGCGAGGCTGCAGGAGGGTACGAGCGAGCAGAGCAGTTTTCCAGGGGAAGGAGCTTTGGCTGGTTGTTTACCTGCGAATCGGCTCTTAAAAACAGCTGATGACTCTCTGTTCGATCTGGAATGCGGCGGCAACCGTGGGGAATGGGAACGCGGCTGGATAAGACAAAACGGGAACGCTGTCTTGTCATAAAAAATCGGTTACTTTCATAATTGATAGTTGTTCTGAAAATAGAAAGAGATAGAGAGAGAGAGGGAGGGAGAGGGAGGAGGGAGAGAGAGAGAGAGTGGAAATACATTTTACAAAACAAAATGATAAAACTTTTGTAAAGGAGCTGCCGTGTCACCTGACTCCCGTGACCTGTTCGTCCTTATGCCAATGGCCAGACTGTGACCTTGAACAGTTTGAAAATAGCAGATGTAAATCCTCGTCGTAATTCTGTATTATTACTGTTTTTTTTAATGATTCGATTATGCCTGCATCATCCACGTGTACCTCCATGTTCCTCGTCACTGACCGGAGGAATATCCATGGTACATAGCACATGGTTTACAGTGGCTGTAGGCTCAGAGGCTGTCTATTTCTCTCGAGATTTAAATAGATTCCTTGCAGGTTTTTGTCCGTGTTGACTGTATGATTTTTGCATCCTGTATTCGACAGTTGTTCGTAGAAATAAGCACCATGATAAAGACACGTTTTCCTTGAGTTGTTTAAAGCAATAAATTCTTAACAAGACCGGAAGCTACAATAGTTTCCAAGGCACCAGTAGCCATTTCTGATCAAAATCGAAAAATAATAAGTAACTTTAAAATCAGTTTTCATTTGTGAATATGTACACGTGCATGGTGATACATACGTTCGTGTGTGTGCTCATTTACTCTATATACTTTATAAAATGTTGAAGTGACGTCACTTTCTTCAAGACGGTATTCAAGATAAGAACGGCATTTATTACTTACACACGTCAAAAGCTCTGTCGGTACGTCTATTGTAATATTTGTAGCAGCTTTCTCAATGACCTAAACTCATTTGACCGAAAATTTCTGTTCGCATTTATGAAGTACTGTCATGATATTCAGTGAAAATATTATATGTCAAGAATTAACCACCCATCATACTGTCAGGAAAGGCTTAAAGATGAAATCCATAAGAATTTCGAAATGTTCTCACTTTTCAATACATCAAGTCTGTGTACAGTGTTTTTTTTTTTCTATTACTGTCAGGAAAGCAGAAATTCCTCAATTCCGTGTTTGTGATGGGAATGAAATTCAGTTTTGTATTCCAAACACTGGACCGAACAGTCAGAAGGGGACTGAGTTCATGGTACAGGGAACAACATTCTAACAGTTTTTTTTTCCATTTGACTGTCTTTTTTCTTTTATGCGCAGTAGTAACTTCGACTTTTGCTGTACCTCCCATTTGCATTCACATTTAAAAGCATAATATTTTACAATACAATAAGAATTGTGGTCTTTAACAATTGTCATGGAATCGAAAGGCAAAAACCTCCGAACTAACATTTGCACTGGGAAAAAAAAATGTGCCAGAGTCACATTAAACCTTTGTCTATGCCGTTTCAGTGACAGCATGGAATTATCGCCGAAACAAGTCATACGATATTCCTCTGAAGCGAAATTGTCATCACAGCAGACTGTTTGTCAGCCTGCAAAACCCTTTCATCATAACGTAACGAAACGGAAAACATAACTTGAGAGATGAACACTGCAATACCGCGTTTGCATGTACGTCAGAATGTGGAACAGATGAGCGAGGACATATTTACACCCGAATTGCTCCTAATGCTGCTCTTTCTATGCTGCTCGCGTCCACGGGGCATCTTTCCCCGATGAGAACATTAGAGAAAGAGCATTTACGTTCATGCTAACGAGGGGGGTAAACTTACGTGATTTATACGTTCTATGTCATTTATTTTTCTTAGCGAGGAATTAGAAAGCTTCGTCGACGAGAGAAGCTAAAGAGAATGTGTACGTGCGTGTTTATTCACACCCACACACAACACACACACACACACAACGCCCGCACGCACACCAACACAAGCGCCCGCACACACAAGCTCACACACGCACGCACGCACACGCAGCCTTTAAACGAGAAACTTTTATTAATCAAGGCAAATCAAGTTAAGGCATTCCCCGCTTCCAACTTCATGACGGCGGCCGCTTCCACGTCTTGAAGCCGTCCCTCCCCGCCTGCCCCGTTGCCGACGACTCCTCTCCGGGCGAAACTTCGGAGAATTCCTCAGCCAATCTCTGTGAAGGTGAAGCTGCAGTCGTCAATCCGTCTGGTCAGGCTGCACGACGCGCGGCGCGGGGACCTCTGCAGGGTTTCTTCTCGGGTGGAAGCTCGCAGGGGGGTTCAAGGAGTCTCGGAGTCTCTCTCTCTTTTCTTTCTTTTCTTTTCTCTTCTCTCTCTTTCTCTTCTTTCTCTCTCTCTCTCCCTCTCTTAGAAGAGAAGTAATGTTAACAATAGAAATAATAATAATTAATGGAATACGATACGTTGATGAAGAATATTGGTAATCTACTAATAAATAATGAAATATAAAATTGTTTCTGGTTACTAGTCATAGAGACAATAAAGCCTGTGACCAGAAAGAATTGAGTAAGATTGAATATATGATGCATATTGAATGTATGATGTATGAAAATTTTGTTATCGCAGAGTTTGGGAAAACGGAATTACATTGGAATTTCCCAATATAATTGATAGAGAGTGGATATCTTTCCAGGTAAAAAAATATTGCTTAACTGATTTCATTTTATTCCACTGGCATAACAACAAGCTTGTGTCTATTAATTATAAAGGAAAGCGTACATAGCGCCCTCTATTTCCTTTCCCTTCCGAGAATATGCTGGGCCTTCAGGTGTTCCATCAGCTGGAAAATCCGCCTGAACTGTAATCCGCAGACCTTGCACCTGAGGGCGCCCTCCTTGGCCTCAGCGGAGGACCCTCGCTCCAACGCCTCCCTCCGCCGACACCTCTTGAGGGCAGCCAGCCTCTGCCTGTGAACCACCACGTGTTTCACCA